TCGGTAGAGACGAGATCATCATGGACCTTATCTATCATGAAAAGGTAGTTCAGCACGAAATATTAAAAACATATAGTTCTTTATTTTGACAATAGTATTTTGTATATTTATATGAAAGTCTAATGTAAAGTGTATTACAATAATTAGAAGTACATATCAACAGAGGAGGTGAGAAGGAAAACAAATATTTTTTCACTCAAATGTTTCTTACTTTCTCTTTATTATTAATGTATTGGTTTCCCATGTTAATGAAGTTACTAGTATATTATTTTTCAGTACCGCATGATATTTTTTAAAGCTTGAAAAACAAGATACAAAAGAGAAAAGTTGCTTATAGGTGAATAATTATGATGATATGCATTAACTATCCTTATGAGCACCAAAATGCTTGGTATGGCATTTATACATAAGAGGTAGGTATTTTCTTCCTAAAATGAATGCATATGAGACAGAATTCATTAAATGGCATACACCCACAAGAATTTTTTTTCTCTCAGTTTTGTATGAGGCATGAAAATCACATAAATAGCCTGTTGTGGTTTCTGACTGACTTATATGTTATAAACTCCCATCTCCTTATCTCTGTCATTTTTCCTTATATATCACTAAGAAATCAAAATAGATCACTAGATTTTATCTTATTGTCATTATTGCCTTGCATTTATCCAAAATAAAGACACTTTGATGCAGAAGACTCAAGGAAGGGGGAAATCAGGTGATGTTTGTATACTACTAATTGACCTCTGTAGCTGAGCACTTCTAGAGCCATCTATGCGTATATACATTTTATGAAATGACTATTAAGTTTGGTCTGCATTCCCTGCGCAAAAATTATCTGGTCAGATTCTGTCTGCGCAAATGTAGTTCTCAGGTAACGTTCTGTGCATGCTTAATTATTTTTTAAACATCTGCGCAAAAAATATTTTGACCTTTCCGCGCACTTATTCTTTCATCTGTCCGCAAATCCATCCGCGCAAATGTAGACGAAATACTCTACAAGGAAAATACTCAACAGTCTGGCTATGCATTAGGTTTGGGGCCTTCCCAAGCCTGCAGTCAGAAATTGTTTACTAAAAATAAAAGAGTGGGGGGTTATGATTGTGAAACAAGTTAATACAGAGAATCTCATCATACATGGACAGTCAGTTTGACTCTGGGATTGCATGTCTTATATAGATTAACCTGTTGGATCCAGTTGTCTACGGGTGTACATGTGGACCAAAATCTGGTTTTATGCTCCTTTGTAGCTCTCCCAAGTGTGTGGCTTGCAAGCCTAGCCCACATGAACACTCAATGTATGGCATCGACTCCTTGCTTTTTCTTGTAATGCTATTAGCCCTTTTCTGTTGACACACTTTTGTTATTTTGCCATTTTTGGAAATCTAAAGTTTTCATGGTTTTTATTTGTTATGCTGTATCAAGAAGATAATACTGTTTTCCTTAAGCAGACTCCGTTTTATCTCTCCAGGTAGCTTACATTCTGTGTAGTAACAATAACAATGAGTAAGATTGTAATATTTGTGTAATTTATAAATATTTTCATATTATTTGATTTTCCACAAGACACCCAACGCCACAAATAATGGGAGGCAGAAATAGATTTCTGCATGTATACATAGTGTCTTCCCTGAAGATGGCTCTCTCCTAGGCCCACTGAGTCAGTCTCACTCCAAGTGTTTTGTGCCTTCATGATGAGATAGCCATATCACCTAATGCTCGGCAACAATTTCCCATGTCAAGACATTCCTGTTACCCATGCTACAGCCAGATTTTTTTCCATGATAAGATGTTCTCATAACCTGTCCTTCAGTCATATTTTCATGACAAGTTATCCAAGTCACATGAATCAGATAGTTGGAGGATGATCCAATCTATATTTTGATGGCAGCATTAAGTATTGATATGAAATATATAGACAGAGTAAATGGAGAAAGAAGTTTTTGTCGATGTCCATATAGTAAATGAAAAGATATAAAGAATGAGAATATTCAGTTTATTTATTTGCTAGAGATGATGTGTAAAATTATTTCAGTGAATAAGAGGTCCATGATTTAGCTAGTGTTTATTTAATTAAATGAAGGATCCATATCTTTATTACCAAAGAAGGACTTCTTGCTAATTATAGTAGGATGAATTACAAAAGATATCAGAATACGTTACAAAGGAATGAGTATGAAAATTACTGTACTTAAACAATAATTTTTGGAACCATAACAAAATATGAATGAGAAGAATTGAAGCAAGTTATAAGGAAAACTACCAGAGAAATGGTGGACTTATATAGAAGGAAGGTGAAATTTCTTGATTTTTCCTTAAATAAACAGTCGTTCCCCATTTTTAAAGTTTTGGTATATCAATAACAGAAAAGCAGAATTCATAGACTTTGTTCTAATATGTTTAATCTTTTGGCTTTTCTAGCAAGATGGATTACTCTGTGCTCAGCATTGCCTTAACAACCTGCTGCAAGGACAGTACTTCAATGCCGTAGACCTCGCAGAAATAGCCCAAGAAATGGACCAAGCAGAACAGCGGCACATGGCTGAGTTTGGCATGCAGACAGAGGACTTCAGACGATTTATGGAGGTACATGAGACAGCTTTCAGAACAGTCTTTGATGAAAGGGAGATATGCAGTGATTAGACTGAACTACAATTTTCATGAGTTATATATTGGCTTGTTCTATACCCAAAGTGTTTTGTAGCTTACATCAAGAAAAAAGAAAGAAAAGAATAATCATAAATGTATTTTTGGATATCATATTCAGATTTTCTGAGGAATGGGAAAGTATGCAAAAAATGCTTATGCCTTTTCAGCAACCTTCTGTGAACATGGATGACACTGGGATGTTTAGTGTCCAGGTGATCACTTCTGCGTTGAAGCTGTGGGACCTGACGCTTGTTCCATATGAGTCATCCAGTAGTTTAGCCCAGAAGGCACGAGGCAACCCCACGTGAGTCAGATGGTGTTACTTTTCTCCCAAAGATTTTTTAGTGGCTGCAGGAATGTCTGAAGGTGGTAAATTTGTGTAGGAATGTGGGGCTTGAGCTTACATGCCCTTGTCATTCCTTTCAGTTTGAAATGGCTGACATAATATAAAGTGAGGGTATATAGGATATTGAGGAAACACCAAGACACTTTAATTGTGATAAATATTTTGTACAGAGTTAATTTTTTTTTTTTATAGAATGTCTGTGAATAAGATGTTATTACTTTGTTATATAAAGTCATATCAGGCAGTTTGGAATAAGTGTAAATCTTTAAATGATATTTTTATATGGCCTTTTTCTATTGTTCATATTTGATTTATATTATGTTCTCTTTCCTTTGAATGAGTATAAAAACAGAGGAACTATCAAGTTCATTAGCAACCCATTATATCAATTAATAGTCATCATATTTTGTCATTAGGGATCAGCAGGCTTACATCTGTAATTTCAAGGAACACTGGCTGACTCTGCGAAAGCTAGGCTACCAGTGGTTCAACCTCAATAGCCAGCTGCCCTTCCCAGAACCCATCTCCGACACATACCTGGCACTCTTCCTCAAACAGCTTCAGCATGATGGTGAGGGAGTGTTTCTGTTGGTTATTATTTTGGTATTCACAGCTAGAGGAAGGCAGGCAACATACCCTTGAAAATGAAGAATTAATGAGGATTAAATTTAATTAGCTGAGAGAGTTTCAGCTGATTATTTTGTAACCCATCTTAGTGTGATGCCTCACTACTGCCCAGAGTCTGGTGTTACTGTTGTTTCTTACCCTTAATATTTATGTGGGCAAATTGACCTTAGTACCATTGCCATATAAATTTTTTAGTTTGGAAGCTTACTCAGTGTCTGAATAGTTGAGAATAAGTCATCTCTAAAAGGACCCTTATGTTGCTTGTCTCTTTTTAATGGGGAACAATGCATTTGTATGTTAGGGTCTAACAGAGTTAAGTTGTAGAAGGCATGTGAGTAATGATTTACTTTATTTTATTTATTTATTTGTTCTTTTATTTTAGATGCTGATAATATCCCATAATCTCCAAAAGTTGCTGTTTTCTTGATGAACAACCTTATTTTCCTTTATATTTTAGGATATTCAATATTTGTAGTTGAGGGCTCATTACCTCCTTCTGAGGCAGACGAAACCCTCCGTCTCCACCCAGCAATACCAGCAACAAAACCCAAACTTCTCATAGAGGTATGTGTAGATTTGATATACTTTAGCTTTAATCAAGATTTTGTAGTTAAATGATTAGATATCAGATGAAAAAATATTAAATAATCATTGTTTTGACTCAGAGCTATTGGTATCAGAGAAAAAAAAAACAATAATCTGGCTTCTATAACCATGGCATTTTTTTCCACAGGCAAACCAAAATCAAAAACAATCTCAGAAGCTTGCAAGCTGCCAGTACTTCAAGCTGTTGCTGAGCTCTCAACATCACACGTAGATGACGAAGAGAAAAAGCTGCAGGCTGCTCTTGAAATGTCTATGGAAGGAACTAGTAAGTAGTTCATTATTCATAATTACTAATTTGTTAGGATCATTTTGAGTACAAACAGTGTTCATAATTGTTAGATACAGAAAATTGAAGTGAACTTTGGGTTAATCCATTGGCTATTATGTTTCTAGTATACAGGGTATTTTTATAGTTAGCATTACTGAGATCAGATGAGATCTTTGGAAGCTGTTGAATAATTAAGCTATGCAGTATTCATAGAGTTGAAGCATATCTAGTGTTTAGTAAAATTGAATACGAATACTTGTATGTATCATGCATTATATGAGGTGTAGGTCTTGAGAAAAAACTCTCCAGCAGATAGAGATAGGGATGATGACTTAGAGAGGGCTATTCAGCTGAGCATGTCAAGTGAAGCAGAACACAATGACACTCAAGAGGCAGCACAAACCTGTACTGCTGATGGAGTCAAGGCTAAAGAGGGTAATTCAAGTCCCAGTCCAGACCATCAGGTGCCAGTAGCAGGTGAGGTTTGAACAAGGAGAGGAATGAAGA